GTCGCTGGCGCCCCGCAGTTGCCCGCGCGCGCCCGGGGCGCCGCCCCCCCCGGGGGGCGGTCATGAAGGCCTCGCGGCTCGGGGGGAGGGGGCGGGGGGAGGAGGGGAGAGAGGAGGGCGAGGGGGAGGGAGCAGCAGAGATTCCTTTATCCTTGAGCCGGTGGTGCCGGACAATCTACCCATCTGTCTCTGACCCTACTCGTTCTCAACCTGAATCTTCGTTCTGATTTGTGTTTCCGAATTGTTATGCTATGATAGAATTCAGGGCTATACAGTTAGGGTCCTAGTAAAGTTCGGAGTAGTATGTCCTAGCACCAACTCGTGTCTGAAAATCTGTCGGAATAATCTTTTTGGTGTTCACATGCATACGTTCACGCTCGCACGGTATCTGAACCGAGCAAGGGGAAGAGGGCAGCCGGCGGCCGGGCAGGCTGGGTCAGGCCTCAAGCCGAAGTAGATCACGCTCGGGGTACTCGGATTTTTTGTGATCCACCTTCCTGGCCGTGAACTGCTTGCCATTGATGCTATTGATGTGCCACATGCCTGTGCGGACCAATCGCATGATCTGAGGGAAGATGCCCGTCTTGGTAAGAGCATCGCATATCATGTTGTGAGCCGGGCAGTGTATGAAGTACCTGATACGGCCCGTGAGTTTTTTTCTCCCGTATCGAAAGTATGGAAAGTCGACTGTCCTTGTCGCTGGGCACTCCCTCCATGCCGCAACATAGCTGCCAGGCACCCAAGCAATCGGTGAAATGGTCCGTAACGATCTCCATCTGGCTTGAGTCGAAGTATTCTAGAACATTTCGAGATTTGCGTTGGTACTGAGTGCTCCTCAAGAGCTCTGTATATCTGATACTGATGAATTGCGCGTACCGGTTCACCTTGGATCTTGTATTGGACTCCGCGTGACACGTCTTGTGGCTGATCCTCTTGGCCTTGCAACTCTGGACGACCATCTTGTGACAAGGTCCTCTGAAGTATTGCTCGTCCAGGATGTCTGCTTTGTCCTTCTTGTCGTACCTCATCCGCTCCATCTTGTCCTCCATCAATAGTACTGCACTGCCTTCTTGAGGATATGATGTGATGGAGTTCCCATGACTCGCGTCCGCCACACATGCCAATCGAATGGGAGGCTCGGGAAAGTGAAGTCCTGCAAGATGGCGATTACGATGGGCTCGTCCAATGACGGTGTTCAGCTGGATCAGGTGCTCCACCTTAGCGTCTCTTACATATTGTTGAAGCTGGACCGTGTAGCAGATGATGTCTTCTCGCCTTTGGCATAACCACAACAATGAGCAACTGCCGCTTCGTAGTTGATGAATCTCATCTGCTGTCAGGGACTCCGTCGTGTTTGACTGCCTCTCCTTTGTCATGGCTACTTTGTTCAGGCCGTCAACAAACTTATCTTGATCAATCAGAAGGTGTCTTGTTCCAATGAGATCATTCCCATTGTGTGAATCGGAGAGTGTGCCTTTTTACCTTGCCGAAGCGATTTTCCGTCTTCTGCTGTGCCCAGTGCGTCCGGTCTTTCAGCGCTAGAACGATGATGTCGTCCACGTGCACCGTCCAGATCGTCCTGATCTTGCCGTCCTCGACCCACATGAAGAAGTTGTCGTCGAACGCGCTCTGGATCCCCTTTCAGGCCGTTCTTGATGAACATGCTGTGCGCCAACTGCCATAGTAATGGGTCGCCCACAGTACCATAGATAAGTTTCAGCAGGAGTCAATCGAAGAACTGGGACTCGCTGTCGCTGGTATGTATCTTAGACTTGTCATAGTTCCGAAAGTGGCGCCAGACGTTCGATGGAGGTGTCATGTAGACCTTCCGTTCTTGTTGGATCTCAATGCCAAGTTGAGCTGCGTAGCGCTTGAGGTCTCGGTAGTTCAAGCTCTGCAGGAACGCCGTTGGGATGTCCCAGGACTCCATGTCCATGTCTTTCTCGATGCTGCAAAGAGGCTACCATTCTCTGCGACAGTCGTGACGCCGTAATGCTATGGTGCATGGCTGTTCTCATCGTGCATCTTCTTCCATCTCCGCACCCTTGCTGCATCTATGATGTTGCCACTGCTGTCGAGACTGTTGCCATGTACCACGCGGACGCATTGGTTATCTATGAGTAATCGAGTCTCTTCTTGATCTGCCTTGTTAATGAGACACCAGTGTCGGTATATCTTGGCCCCCGTCAAAAGACCATCGTTCCAGGCGAAGATCGCCTCGCCCGTGGCCATGTCCAAACAGAAGTACCTGCTCTCTTGGAACGGGAGAGGTATCACCCAATGTGCCGAGGTAGCTTCCCGTGGTAGAACTCGTTGGTCCATCTTGTGAAGTCTGCTCGAAACGTCGCTCGCCATGCTAATCATCAGGTTCTGGTACTCGTCCATCTCGTCGTGCTCCAGGTCTGGGGTGCAGAGATAGTGCGTCTTGAAAGCATCGAAAGTGACCTGCTGATTGAGGAAGGCGTGATAGTCTTCCAAAAGCATGGGGCGCTTGGTGTCCGTGAGCAACGGAGGAGAGTGATCTCCTCGTTTGTGGCCGACCTTGTCGGTGATGTCTGCGTGGTCGATCCAGAAGCTCTCGTTGGCAATATTGGAGAACCATGTTGATCTGCCGGTGCCTCTGGAGTGTTAGGGTCGTCAGTCTTCCTGATCTTGGTTGCCGGTGAGCTCCTGATGGTCTGTCCTTGATTTTCGTTACTCTTGATTCTATCGGAGTGTGTGGTTCTGAGTCTGTCCCAGGTTGGTCGAGTGCTGTCGCTGCCGATGACTCTCCGTCAGGATAGCGGATGGTCTCCGCTGGTGATAGTTGTTCCTCGGGATTTCGAATCGTCGGTGCTGGTGAGGCTGGTGGAGTGCTGATCGTAGATGATGTAGATGCTGTCTGTCGTGCTGGTGGTGTGGTCGGTGTTGTCTGCGGTGCTGATCTGCCTGAAGAGGTAGTTGTTGGGTCAGGTGGCTCAGCGATTGGCAGAAGTGGAGATGTCGGTGGTTGTGGTGACTGTGCTGGTGTCGGTGGATTGCCTGGCTTGATAGTCGGTGCTTGTGGCGTCGTGGGTTGTGTTGAAGTTGGTGCCGCTGGAGTGGGTGCTGCTGCTGAACGCCGTTGTCTGTTCCAGTCGGGTGGTGCTGACTCGGCTCTGGTAGGTCGTCTCGGTGTCCTCGGTTCTCGCATCCCTGGTTCGCATCTTGAGGGTGCCCAATGTCGCGTTGGCTTCGGTGCAGCGACCGGAGCTGATGGACTAGCCGGTATAGCTTGCCCAGGATGATCAGGTGGTTGAGGGTTGTGCCGGAGCTGTGGGAGCCATGATCTCCGAGTCGTCCTGCTTGCCGTTGTTCATCCCTCGTCGTCGACGTCGATATTCTGAGAAGAGTTGTCGTCATCGTCATCGAATATCACTCGTCTTACCGACCGTGATGCGGATGAACTCCGCGATACAATGGATCGCTCGGGCGTGTCGATCGGGGTCGTCCTGATAGCTGGTACTCGTGGAAGTCCTGGTGGCGATCGTCCTCCGCCTTGATCAGGTCCTGCTTCGATTGACGAGATATCGTCCAGGATGGTGGTATCCGAGAGCTCCTGTTTGATCTGGTCCCCAGGCGCTGTCGGCGCTGGAGGTGGATCAGGAGGTCCCGGTGGTGCTGATGGTAGATGTGAAAGCTCGTTCAGCGGTGGACGCCCCGCCGGTGCTCGAGCCGCTGGTAATTGAGGAGGCACAGGTGCCTCGGGAGGAGGCTGTCGAGGATCATGGCGCGGAAATCCGTCGTCATCTGGTGGTAATCTTGGTCCTTCGTCGTCGTCAGGGTAGAAATCGATGCCAGACAGGTCGCCGAAGTCGGGTATCCTGTGCTCCCTGATGTCCGCGTGTTCTTCGAGCCGCTCGAACGTGATGCCGAATTCCGCCTTGGGGTCCGTCTGAACTCTGATGTTCAGCGCGAGGATCTCGGGGTAGTCCGAGACGCTGCAGATCTTCACGATCTGGTCTAGCAGCTCCGTGGCGTCTATCGCGCCAGCGAGATGTCGCCTGCGGCGCGGCGCGCGCGCGGGGGCTGGGCAGCTCCGCTACCAGAGCAGAGATCCCTTCATCCTTGAACCGGTGGTGCCGGGCAACATACCCATCTGTCTCTGACCCTACTCGTTCTCAACCTGAATCTTCGTTGGAGGGGATGGGGAGGACGGGGGGAGGGGAGGATCGAAGCAGAAAGAAGCATAAACATGAACTCTTGGCGCTCCGCGCGGATCTGTTGGATCCGCGCCTCGGCCCCCCGGCGCCGCCCCTAGCGCGCTCCGCGCGCCAGGGAGGGAGGTCCAGCGCGAGTCCAAGAAATCCGCACGGAGCGCCACAAGTTTACGTTTGTTTTTTTTTTTCTTCTTCTAGGGAGGGGCAGGGGGTGAGGGACTAGTTAGGTGCGCTCGCGTCATATCCGACGTCCTACCCCTCCCTCCCATCCCTTACCATGTGTAGCCCTCCTCTCTATATTCGCACAGTCGGATGTTGTGGCATGGCAGAGCATTATGTGGCATAGCATGGCGTCGAAGATCAACGCGTAGCATGACATAGCATGGCGTGGCGACGCCCCCAAGTGGGAGGGGGGGCTTTCGCCGCCCCAGTAATTAACGAATCGACACCGAATGTGTACTCACTTCCGATGGTTTTTTTTTGGGGGGGGCATTTTCTAGATTTTGGGGCCTATTTGGAAGGACCGAAAACCATGCCGTGGCATGGCGCTGGAAATAATGACGCCAGCGCCGCAGCGGGAGCACAATTCGGAACGAGCGGAAGTGCGGAAATGAGGCCAGCGCTGCAGCGGGAGCACAATTCGGAACGAGCGGTAGCCCGAAAGTGAAGCCAGCGCTTCAGCGAGAGCAGCATTTCAAAAAAAACCCAAGCGAAAACCCAATTCCCGGGAATCCTGCATGTGAAAAACCAATACGCGGAGGGGGGCCGGACATTCCCCGGACGCCACCAGGGGAGAGGAGAGTAGTATTCATATTGTGTAATTGCGGAGGTGAGGGAGGAAGGGAGGGGTGGGTGAGGGAGGCGGAGGAGAGGGGTCGAGCAAGCGCAAA